AAAAAAAAAAACTTGGCTTCTCGTGGCCCTAGTAATAAATTGTTTGTGAAAAGAAATTTTTTGAAATGTATAGAAATGATAGCAAAATTGACCCAGTCATCTCTGTACATATTAATAAATCTCAAAACTATATGCCACTTTATCTTATCTATAAAATTCGAAACAAAACTATTAAATTATAATATTTTAAATTCAGTTTAAAAAACCCAAATATTTTTCTATATTGCTTTATCGTACTCCCGATGTATGAGCCACCAGGAGTATGATTACCTCCGATCTGTGAGCCACCAAATTTCTGTCTCCATGAGGTGTGTCAATTTTAAAAAACAATTAATTTAGTGTCGAAAAACATTTTTTATAACATTCCGTCCTGTAAGTGACAGGTAAAGGTTTAACCAACTTTCTACAGAAAACTTGAGGAAATTACGGTTTAAATATTTAAAATATGCGCGGGCAAGGATACGACAATGGTTCGAATACGAAAGGTAGATAGAAAAAAATTTTAGACATTAATTCTCGAGCAATATTTGTACCTTGATGTAGCTACAGTTTGAACGTTGTCATAAAAGAACACTGTGAAATCCAATATGTTCAGTATAAATTTTCTCTGGACTGTCCAAGAGCTATATATTTTTCTGCTTCAGCCCGACTATGGTCTGTTTTGAAAAGTAACATTTCAAATTGAACGTTAAAACCTTTGTCAGACACGAGATGGTATAGCAGAATTAATGCAGTAACTTCTATCGAATTCCAGGCAGGCGAAATTCACGATGCTTTCTATGAAATTTTGCCCACAAAAAATTTTTGACAACACTACAAAACTTCTAGCTACTTCTGTAGTTAAAGAAATTAAAAATTATGAATTTTTACTTATGTTAGTGTTGTGCTAAAAGACACTAAGTAAAGCTGATGTTTTTAACACGATTCTGCAAACTAAAAAGTTCAATATTTCACATGTTTGCGACAATTTGAACAACCTGAATACCATTTTAAAGCGATATCGATCAGATAAAGGCTTCAGTGACATGTTCATAGATGCAAAGAATTAGCATCTTGCTTGGAAGTAGATGCGAAATTCAAATGTCTATAAATTTTAAGGTTACATATTTTCGTGAAAAGTGAAAAATCAGCCAATTGAAAACCAAGAATTAAAAGGGGGGAAAGCTAGACTTTACTCTTTCAGCTGTAAATGATAGAGCTGAGCTGTTATCCTCTCATTCTGATGTTTTCAGATTTTTGAGGAATACTAAGGATTTTGGCGAGTATTCTGACCAATATCAATACATCCAAGATCAGTTTTTGTAAAAATCTTGAAAAGCTTTAACCGACAAAAACTGAAATAACAAAGATGCAGACGAAACAGAACTTTTATATAAATTACAATTTCTGCAAAATTGGGACAAAAATGTGACGTCTGTAGTAGAAACGATTAGATTACAAATAAATAATTTAACCCACTCATTCCCAAACATTAAGGTTGCATTACGTATATTGCTAATTACACCAATTTAGTTACAGACCGGAGATCATTTTGTAAATTAAAATTAATTAAGGATTACTTACTATCTAGAATGGGCGAGGAGTGCTTAGAAAATCTTACTATCATTTTTATAGAATCTGAGCAGCTGCATATTGAAAATCGTATTAATGAATTTGCCAAAAGTAAAGCTAGAAAATTCCAATTTCTATAAGACATATTTCCGTTGTTTTTCATCATGTATATCTATATAAAAACATGGGCAATCTAAAGGTATTTTAGTTGACCCTATATCTTTTAAGAATTTGGAATAATGATTGATAACTTTGATTTTTTTTTTGTTTTGTTGTTTCTTTATTGTTGTTTCATTGTGCAATAAAAATCTTAATAATATTTCTTTGTATGTGTACCCGTCGTTTGATCAGATAAAAGCTACATACCAATACTAACAAGTCTAAAGAGTTTGTCAGAAATTTCAACGTTGAAATGTAGAGGAATAAGTGGTAATTTTGGTTCATTAGAGTAAAGGAAAGGCGCCTATCAGTATTTCGCACGACGGCGCCGAAGATACTTGGCGCGTTCCTGAGTATATCGTTAAGCATATTTCACGACGATAAATAAGCTGCGGAAGGCAAGCTTAAAGTTCATTTAAAAATAATTCAAAGATTGTTTTAGAATGCAGAAACCTTCTAAGGGAACTGGCAACCAGAAATAAGGTAATTCTAATCTAGGTACGAGAATATAAAGGAATTGAAGATAATAAAAAGGCATATTTGAAGTTGCAAAAGAGAGGTCACCTTTTAATACAATAGGTGTGGAACCTTTTCGTGGTATCAATATGAAGCCTGCAAAGAGTATCCTCCTTAAATGGGGAGATGAATAAAGTTTGGCTTGATTCTTCTGGGTAAAAGCATGCTAAAAGTGTGATTATCAGACCTTCTGCCAGGGGCGTAGCTAGAGGGAGACAAGGGGGCACCTGACCCCGGGCGCAGAATCCAAAGGGGCGCCAAACTGATGTTACGACATTTTAGAATTAAATGTTTTCCATCCTTGGCAAGCAGTAGGGGGCGCGAAATCTTCAGTTGTCCTTGGGCGCTGAAAACCCTAGCTAAGACTCTGCCTTCTGCTAAGATTGCCTCTTATTGCCTTCTTGATTCTTAAGTGCCAAGACAGAAGATATAAATAGTTGTGGGCTTCGTCACGGGGCACTACTATTTCAGAAAACACTTTTATACTATGGCACTTTTTCTACAAGACTCTATATGCAGGAAATGCTGTAAGAACAAGGAGACAGCACGCCATGAGTGGGATTTCCCTCGCCCTCACTCGCTTGACTACTTTAGGTATTCTCAAGTTATACCTGAGCTCTATGAACGGGTTATCAAATTTTATAAATAAAGTGGGCGACCCAAACAAATGGAGCTAGGAAGCATTGGGCTGGGTGCAAAATGCTATATAGCAGAGGTGTCTGATGCCTGACAAACTCAACCTGATGAAGAAGATTAAAGTTCTCAACGTTCTTAGAAAGAACACATTTTAAATGTAAGGCTCAAGTTTTAGCGCAATTAAATAGGAGCGTGTAATGTTTATCCTTGCTGTCCTTTGTGAAGTCGTGTCACAAAAAAGTGAAGGTGAATATAGAATACGGACAGGTGGTAAGGCGTAATTCCTTGTATATCGGCACGCACCTTATATTGCTTGCATAAAAAGCACTTATTCAACATGGATTTGAAGAATCAGCTTCCTTTTATGATCCAAAACTTTGCTCTAATTTGGGTTATGGTAGCTTCAACTCTCAGATGAAGAAATTGATTATGAGACTCTTAAGATCACTAATTCACCATATTTATTTCTATAAAGTAACAGCCATGGATGTTTTACTTCGCAATCAAGATCAGGAAATTGAAGTCTGCCTTTTGAAAGCATGAAGAGTAAATTATAGATGTCTTATCTATAAACTTTCCACTTGCAAGGTCTAGAATCTTTTTCGCAAAATGTTTTCGTTGTGTAACTTTCACTCAGGTCTCGAAATATCTAGGCTTAATTGACCTCTGAATTTCACTGCGTTTAATACTCTTTATAAACCCCATAACGTACTCTATAATCCGATACATTTTCAGCAGCATGCTGAATCAAGTTAAATCTAGTAATGTCGAAGTTTCTGCGTTTTAAACAGAAACGTGAGGAGAGGTTAACTCACTTTTCTTGTTCTGAACACTCTTCTCGTCGATATATCTCTGTTGATTCACTGGCCAAAAACTTAAGTCGAAAGAATCAACTAGGTCCCTGTAACCAAAGCTTTTCACAAGACTAAAGGCACTTCCCATACCCGGTGAGATAATAAGTCAAAGGGATTTTCTTTCTCACCTGCAGTAGGAAAGTTTCCAGTTTCCCCTTCCCGTTTCTCGCACATCCTTTTAATAATAAAGAATCTACTTTTTTTTAATTGACGTACAGCAATAAGACACGCTTTGTTTAGGGATCAAATGGCCTTTGTAACCGGGGTTATCCCTTGGGCCAGCGGTGCAATGTTAACCTTTATTTTGAAGGACGCAGGTCTCCAACCGCAAGTATTATTGTCTGGGGAACGATTTCCTGCCATAGCTTCACCGCTTTTATAACCTGCTATAAATTACTTTTATAACTAGAAATTGTTTATAATTAAAAAAAAAAAAAAAAAAAAAAAACTGGTGCTTGAGTTCTCTTTTTCAGGTGCCAAGAACATGGCAGGTGCATAACGGATAAGTACCTGATACACATTATGCCATGAAAGTAAAACACAGTATACTTGAAAACAGCACAAATTTTATGAAATGGGTACTAAATTTTAAATTATATTCACTATTTACAGATGAAGATCTTATAACCATTTAGTGTTGTGATGTATTATCATAGGTCCAGAATTTCATGCCTTGTTTGTGTTTTTGCTTGCAGGGGGGGAAACATCAAGTTTAGATGCGAAGGAAAGATATGCAGACAGAAAAAAATTTCGTCTGTCATTTAATATGCAATTTTAACTTCCGTTGAATAGTTACAGATTATGAACACTATCTTATGATTGATTAACCCCTTGACATGCAAATAAAATACGCGTCTGAAGAATATCATTTAATTTGGCTCAACTATGAACACTCATATGCAAACTTAGAAACAGAACGTGTTATTTCCAAATTTAAATTGCTATATAACAATAATAATATACTGCGCGGCGTTCGCTGAAGACAGTGCTTGACGTCTCAGAGACATCAAAGTTTACAATGGCACATAAAACCAATGACGTCTCCCGGACATCATTGTATGTCAAGAAGTTAATAAACAAGCAGAAAAATTTTCAGTAAAAAGCTAGACAAAACTGATATACTAACCAAAATAAATCGGAGAAGTTTACTTATATATATACATTATACATTATATATATATATAATGTTGTATGATCTATTGTCCTACCCTATTACGAAAGAATAAAGGATACGGAATTTTTGGCGCATGCGTGTTCGATATCTGTCATCAGAACCTGAACTGCCTGTGATTGCGATACGAAATATTTTTTAAAGATATTCGCGAATTACGCAAAAAATGGCGTTAAAAGATGTAGTTGGAGCGAGTAAGTAAATTTTTACAGTTTTTTAGAGAATGTTTACATACTAAAACTTGAAAAGGTGATGTCTGTGTAGTGATCTACATCGCAAAGAAAATTTCAGTTTTACGCATTAGCTCCATATGATTGTTAGGGGCGTGTTTCCTGCAAACTATGTGAAGTTTTATTTGTGTATAATATCTCTTTAAAATTGTGTTCAAACTTTAAATAAAATTTTTATCCTTATTATTTTACAGAAATTATGAATGATGTGATACGAGCTGTAAAAAAGAAGGGCGATTGGAAAGTCCTCGTAGTGGATAAATTAGGGATGAGAATGATATCAGCATGTTGTAAGATGCACAGAATAGCCCAAGAGGGTATAACAAGTAAGTTTTCCTTAATAAGTTTGTCTAGTTCTCTGAATGTCGAGATTTACAGTTGAAGATCGTTTGCTCCTTTATGTGGAGCATTTGTATGAATAACTTTTTATTGATATGTATTTTCAGGTTACTGAATATTGTAACCTCTGTGGGTTAATTTATGGCATAGTATTCATTAATTCAGATTTCGTTAATTTTTTCGTAATTCAGATTCAGGGCTTTTAAAAATAATCGTATTAAAAATAAAACTTCGTTTATTATTATTTTTTGATTTATTCAGACTTAGCATAATACCTAACTACTTTAATTAACCATGCTGATAATTTTAAGATAATGTAATTGGATTCAGCTACAAGACGTGCATTTTTACTTGCTTACCATAACAAGTTTCAGAAATACATATTCTCTGTGCTTTAGGAAGTGGACCATTCTTGTGAAATCTTTTCTTAATGACATAAAACAAAGAAGCAGATATAATTAGCAAGTGTAATTTTTTTTGAACATTCTCAGCTGTACAGACAAATATAAAGCTGAGAATGCTTGCTTAAAACTTTCCAGGGTTTAATCCTAGTATCCGGTGCACACGGGATTTGGCGAGTTTATGATGAGCAGTAAAAATGGGACATATACGATGAGTAGTTAACAGGTCATTCAAAGAAAATATATAGTTACACATAGTATACACTATGTATATAGTATATATATACTATGTATATACACACTTAGTATATAGTGTATATATAGACGTTCTTTGGATCATTTTTGGTGTTGGCGATAATTTTCAAAGTCGCGCCAAGGCTGCACCGTAAACTAGGATTTTACCCTTTCCAGGTTATTAAGGCAATGAATTTCGTGGAACTTTTAACATTAGTAAGGACTGGAACAAAGCTTTTTTGTTGCTTGATGTAAACTGTGTAACTTTGAAATTCTGCTGTCCAGTGCAGCCACACTAATTCTACAAATTCTGTCATTGGCACTGTAGTGATGTTGTTATTAATGTGACTCTAAGCAGTGGCAAATGCAAGAGAAGAGATTGTTAAAAAGTGAAAAGGTTGTCATCATTTGTGTTCAACAGGTAACCATAAGCTATTTTTTACCTGGCTGCCTTACTGTAGAAATTTTATGTTTATCATATTCTGTGATTGATTGGTATGCTTCTTTGGTTAGATTGATTTATATTTTTGTTACGCAGTTAGCAATCAAAATAGTCTGCAGAATGCCCTAACTTGCATTCTCTCCTTAAAAAAGAAAAAAAATCTTTCAAATTTTGTATTACGCCCTTTTGGGCGTAATACAAAATTTATGTTTATGTTTATGTAAACAAAATTTATGTTTTATGTTACCTTTATTTATTAAATATAATATTCTTCATACTTAAAACACATAAAATTCAACAGCAATATCATGAAATATTTGAAAACAACATATCTTTAGAGTTTCCGATGCACGCTGGAAGTAAAAAAGTTTTTTTCCGTACAGTGTTGCCACTGCTTGCTTTGAAATCATTGAGTTTGTTAATCAAAAATTCGTTAAAGTTTTACAAAATTTTAAATAGATAATAAAACAAATTCAAAATTTGGACTTCCAAGTGCCCATGTTTGGTTCAAGAACTACGTTATTCAAAATTTGATGGCTCCAGGTACTGTTGTTTCCTCATAATGTGAGAAACATTCATGCAGATTCTTCATTATTTAGTTTCTTTAAATATAATTCATGGCTATAATATTTGGTGGCAACAGTTTGAAAAATGATTCAATGCAAAATTCCATTTTGAAATTAATAGCCCTTCTAGGCTAACGTCCTTTGGGCTAAAAAATCCTCTTTTTCATTGTTTACTACACAAGGCAAATTGTAAAAATTATTTTTCTGCTTTTCAGATATTTTCATAAAATTGAAAACCCTCTTCCCCCCCAAAATGAAAAAGGTAATAATTCAGGTTTATCGTAAATGAAAGAATGTGAAATTGGGGATATGTGTATATAAATTTCTGAAATAAGTAATTTTCGAAAACAATCTTGTAATATTACTTTAATTTGTTTTGATATATACAGACTTAAGTGAACTTTGTAACAAGGGTTAACAGCTTATGTTTATCTCATAATGAAAGTGACAGTTCTTTTTTATTTTTTTATATCTTATATCCATTTAGTAAAATTCTAATTTGTGCTCACCAGTGGCAAAAGGCCACCAGTGACCTGAGTAGTAAAATGGTTGAACAATCATAGCTTGACTCAGGTTTAAATCCAAATGAGTGAGCTGGTTGCATGAAAGTTTTTATGGTTTTCCTAGTGTATGGTTAAATAAAGCGAGTTTTCATTGAAAAATCTCGGTGAAGATCTCGCTTTTCATCAGCAGATAGCCCAAATGTGCTTTGTTATAATTTTTACAAATCTAATCTGATGTAAAATTTTAATTTATTTGCTACGATTTCTTCTTTTAAATGTTCTTAAAATACCGTAATTTTCTGATAAAGAAATATATACAGATACGCAGCGATAGAGGTGGGCGATAACAGATTAATCTACAAATTATTATGTGACTTTGTCAAATAAACATACCAGCATATGTAAAGAATGCAAAAACTAATAAAATAATAAAATTTTTAAAAATTAAGAAAATTCTGTTATATATTGCTGATACAGTACAAAGTCCGAAATCCAGACTCGTCGGGACTTCGGCTACTCCGAATTTGGCATTTTTCCGGATATTAGATCATCAGTTTAAATCTAATAAGATGGCATGTAGAAATTATAAAATTAAAAATGTGAAATCTTATTTATGAAATAATGAAGTATTTAGGATATAAAAGGTTTCAAAATTTACAAAAAAAAAAAAAAAAAAAAAAAAAAAAAAAAAAAAAAAAAAAAAGCTTAATATTTATTTGTTTACCTTACTAAACATTTTTAGGTACTATTCCATTTTGAGGACCGTAAAAAAAAATGCAGCGAAAATGTATGCACAAAAGCGCGAAATCTAGCAAATGCGCCCATTTAGCAGCACGCCAAATCTAGCGTATACGCTGATTTCAGATTATGTAAGTTCATATAGTTCTATATTTTTTTAAGACGCCATTGGAATACTAGTTTAATTTTTTAAATCCTTTTTTGATTTTAAATTCTTTTTTGATATCTTGTGGATTTAACAATTTGGGAATTGCCCATGTCGAAAAGTGTGCAATAGAATTTTGGGTAAAATGCGGAATCACCCACTGCTCGACGTGTTTTTAAGAATTGCACATACTCGGTATCCATGTACATATCGACCTATTTTCACTTCAAAAAAAAATTCCCAGAATTGCACAAATATGGCACTGCGCACATCAACCTATTTTCACTTAAAAGTAAAAGAAAATTGACAAAAATCCAATTGTTTTTACCCATGTAAAAAGCGGCAAACAAATAAGTGGGCGATCCTGCACTTTACCGAGAATTTTTTCAAAGAAAAAGCATCATTCATTATAGAAAATTATGCTCGAACAACCAACGAGATGAAATTATGCTCTAGCGATAACTCGGTAGCGAAATAGCGATGTAGGCATGCATTCCGTTATGTTTAGCAATTTTTATATAAATTATAATAATGATCCGAAATAGTTATTTACTCCCATTCAGTCATGTTTAGTCTTTTTTATATAAATTATAATAATAAAAAAGTATTATATGAAATTAAACTTTCATCTAAATTAAAACATCAATCTTAAATAGTTATTTACTATTATACTTCCTTTCTTGCCTTAGGGTTGCCGCAATTATTTTTGGCATCAACAATAGTTTGGTGATTTTTTACGGCCCTCAAAACCAAATAGTACCCATTTCTTCAATGTAAGTTGTTTAAGTTGCTCTGTTTTTTGTGCTAATACCTTTCATTTTAATTCTGTAGACAGACATAATTTCTTGTTAAATTACATTGTTGAAAGGGTTAATCTTTTTATTATGGTAACTTGGTGATTTTTTGGAGAAATTTTTGGCGACCAACCCTGCTACAGCAACCTGCTAGTTTTTGTTTGGATCCCATTTTGTTTTCATGAAGTAAAGGCATTTTTTTTTTTTTTTTTTACTCAACATTTCCAACATTTTTTACCTACAATCTGCTAGCCGAATTACGCTTATGCTAGAACTTTTATGGAACAAAAGTACTTAATCATGATGAAGATTAGGTGCGAAATTGGGACAGTGTGTAGAATCGCCAACTGCTTGCCGCGTTTTTTACGAATTGCACATACACGGTATCATCCATGTACACGTCGACCTATTTTCACTTAAAATAACATCCCAGAATTGCACAAAAATGGCATTGCGCACACTCTTGACTATATCCATGTACACTGCTAAAGTGCTAGCTAGTAACCTTTATCGCCTTACCAAAATGTCGCCAAACTACCTGTTACCATATTCAAAAGATTAGCCGTTGAAAGTCCTCTACCTGCTGTTTCGAGAATTTTGACTAACTTGTCAATTGAAATTTTCTCATTTTCAGTAACTCCTCTATCACTATCATTAGCAGTATTTTCTGGATCTAGAACCATACTACAGATTTCGCCATTCTTTAACCATTTGAGTCCAGCACGCGCTGCATTTGTCGTATGCCAAAAATATGGCGCAGCGCGATAGTGCTTCTCTTGTTTTGTATTGAGAATGCAAAGACGCCGCTGTTGGTTCGTATACTTGAAAAAAAAATTATTGAAAATTGAAAAAAAATTATTGAAATATTCAATTGTTTTCGCATCAGGAGGAGGGGCGTGCTTTGGTCCAGGTACTTCAGGAAAAGTATTTGATTCTTTCAAAAAAATTGTATCCACGGGTAAAAACTCATCAATAATATCGTCATCGGAGGTACTTGCAGTTACTCATCATCACTGCTATCACTAATAACTCATAAACTCTTAGAACGAATGATGATGTCACTTCCACTATCACTTTCAAGGTCATTACTATACTTTTCATTATCACTTCTCATAACATAGTCACTTTCAAATGAATCAGAACTTGACATGAGTTATTTCATAA